CGTGTCACATAAATGGTTCAAATCGAAACACTCAACACATATGTGGGGTTTTTAATGCCCCGAGAACCGTGCAAGAACAACACGGAAGTCAACTTTTTGTGGTTTCTCACCTTTCTGATATGAAAAATAACACCTCCAGTCTAAGTTCGCCTTAGAGGCTGCGGATGAAACCGTCGCGTAACAGTGGCAAGAGTAAAAAAAATGCATAGGGTTTGCGAAGATCACCAAATATATTATACATGCATTACATTATAGGCCGGAAAATTACACATCAGAGCGTTAGATGTAAGAAACAGGTTTTTGGTTTAGGTTTTTTTTTTTTTCAATGTCCAGACTTTTATTTATGCCAACACTCTCTGCAGTACCTTGGACAGACTGTGTGACTGGATGTTGGCATATCTGCATGTTTATGTTTGTATCTTGTATCTATGAGTGTGTGTGTGTGTGTGTGTGTGTGTGTGTGTGTGTGTGGTGCGCTGGGCTCATCACAGCTCAGCGCGCCATGTGTGGGAGGGGGAGCAGTCATGTTTTAAGACCATCTGCTCCTCTGAGTATTTTAGTGGGAGCCTTAGCTTGTGGTGGATCAACGCGCGTCACAGGCAAGCAGCAAAGCGCAAGCTGTGAGCGGGCCTGTTCCGGAAAAAAAATTCCTCCAGTTTCTCCCTCGCACAATGGGCAGTGTTCTGCATACAAGGTTCCCATTCTTTTATCTAACCCCCCCAACTCCCCCAACTCCCCTTCTCCATCCAAGAGCCTCGGTGATGCTCTTATACACGAGCCGCAGACGATATTCACAATGAAAATGTTCTTCTTGGCACAGCTGTTTGTTTGTGTGAGCCTTTTTGGTTTGTGTGAGCAATTTCAATAATGTAAAATGACTCATAAAAGGTGTTGTGGCCTGAATTAGCAGCGCTGATTGTTCTGCTAGCATCTGTATCCCTGAAGTGTGATGTGGAATAAGTGATTACGCTGGAGTTTGATTGCCTCAGATATTAGGGAAGGATCTTTTGCACGAGGCGACGAAAAGATGAGATGAACGTGCGCCCGTGTGCTGTTTCATTACATGTATTGTGTTTTTTTTTTCTCGTATGTTTGACTTTTAAACCAGACTCGTGTTAAGTTCTCTCCACTACCAAAGAAGCAAACATGTTATATGGATCTGCTCTCACACATGTAATGCACATGTACTGTATGGACAATGACCACAGTCCCAGCCGGACAAAGGCGTAAGCTTCGTTTACGAGCGGCGCAGAGGGGGTGCCGAGGAATTTCACATAGCTGCACTCCCCACACTGAGGAGTGTGTTGGCATTCCTCACAGTGCATGTGCGTGTAGGGGGGGTTATGGCACGCTACGTATTCATTTGTACACGGCTCCGGAGCATCAATGCAACATTCTCTCCTTCAGCTCGTCTCCAGACTGTTTATGGAGGGATTCCCTTGAGGTTATCCACAGCTCGGCCGGTGCCATCACTTGGCTGGTGGCCTAATGGCTTTTGGACACACTGACTCACTCTACATGTAACAATGAGAGTGGGAAAAAACTTCCTCACTGAAGAGACAACTTGCCTCTGTTGTATTTATATGTAAACTAGGTGGACCGCTGAGTTGGATCCATGCTTGTTCTCTCCCCACCTACAAACATTCCTCACCAGTGGAAATATTAGATCTGCATACGGCTAGAAAGATCAATTATCATGCCCTGGAGCCTTTTTTTTTTTTTCATTTCTGGAATTACATCCAGACGTGGCTTCAGATTCGAACACTTCCTCCGGTTGAATTGTGTGATTTATACGCTTTTTGGGGTCGCGATTTCAAACAAATGAGCTCTACGGTTCAAAAATCTGTATCCAACTAATGTAAATCTGTAATTTACATAACCATATTCATCTCGCAAGTTCTAAGTTCCTCCTACTCGTCATATGTTGCTCCAAAGCAGCCTTACTTGAAGTGGTAGTGAGTCATCCTCCCTTCCCCACACAGCTCCTGCCCTTGCGTCTCGGGTACCGAGCAGCATGAAGAGGTTCAGCTAATGTCAACATGCTTTGCTTCGCCCTGCGAGGTGGAAGCATGATCCGGGCTCGGGAGTTCGATGCATGAAAGACAACATGGGACAGCTCAGGGAAATGGTGGCACAGAGGAAAGGAATGCCGAGTGGGCCAAAGAGCAGCTCTACAAATGCCTGAACGCATATTCAGATCTGCCCACGACACATGTAAACCAGAGCTCACACAGACTCCTCTCTTCCCCTTCCCCTTGTCTGCTTCTAACATCTCTTTTTATCTCCCTGTTCTGTCCTTTTTCCCACAGAGTCTGGCATCTAGGATTCGGAGCAAGACGAGCGGCTGAGGGAGAGAAAAACAACGGGGAAGGAGCACAAGAAGAAGAAGAAGAAGTCAGGACTGAGAGGCAGCAGGAGCCTGGTGCTGAGGCTGGTATGAGGCAAGTGTTTTCTGTGTGTGTGTGTGTCGCGTGTGTGTGTGTGTGTGTGTAAGCGTGCACACGTATGCAGTGTGCTCTGTGCCAGCCATTTGTCTGCACCATCAATGGGGCCCGTTGTTGCTGGAGTCGGTGGTGGTGTCAGTGGCCCTGCCTGGCTGCTCGGCTCTATTCTCTCCTGCTGCTGCTGCTGCTGCTGCTGCTGATGCATGGCCTCTCTCCCTTGACACACTCGCCTGGCTCTTGGCCTTTTGTTGCAGTGCAGATGGTTGAGCTTGACGCAACATTGGAGAAAAGTTGGAACTGTCACAGCCAGCAGTGTGCCGTGACGGGCCTCGAAGTGTAACCCCTCGAAAGCAGCTCGAAAAAACAGTGAAAGGGGTTGTTTAAAGTAAAAAAAAAAATCCTCTACTTTTGCTCTTGGTTCACTTTCACTGTGGCATTGTTTTCCATTGCAGCAGGCAGCTTCTCTCAACAACAAAAAAACCCATCGCGCAGCACTCGCTCAGCATCAAACAGCAGACAGACACATTTTGCATCCAGCTGGTGAACATTGTGGATAGTGGAGCATTTAGGAACTGAAGAGTTATTTCCCTCAGGAGTTGGTAGAAAGAAAAGCACGGAGCTAGAAGAGAGCGGATGCCGGGCTTACGTTCACCAGGTGGCCAGAAACCAGCTTCAAATGAATGATAATGCTGCTCCGTATCTATCTGCTGGCTGCGGAGATGATTGCCAACAAGTCCGTCACATCAACATTAAAAGGCGACGACGGCGTTCGCAACTGGATTCCGCTGCTCCCGAGCGGCCGAGACATTCAGTCATCGCGGGTTTGCGGACGAGGAGCAAATTGAATAATGCGAGACGCCCACTTAGCCGAGCGAACCTGTTTACATGTTCAGATGGATTCGCGATTGTCTGGCGGCTTCGACGGCGAAGACGAGCGGCTTGACACGTCCGCGGCCTCCTGCGATGTCGAACCAACAGAATTTTTTTCGTTTCTCTCTATCAACAAGGCTAATATTGGTCGTGGATTCTCCGGGGGGATGTTGGGATGTGTTAATCACGAAGCTCTAAAGCGCAATCCACTCTCAGGCCCACCATCTGCACACGCCGGCTGCTGCGGCATGAAACTGAAATCCTCTTTCTTCTTCTTCTTCTTCTTCTTCTTCTTCTTCTTCTTCTTCTTCTGCGTGCGTTAGTTCTATATCTGCTGTAACAGTCGGCGTGATGGTCTGCGTTTTATTTGTGGTTCAGTTGTAGATTTCTTTGAGAGCGAGACAAGCAGCGTGTTCAAGTCAGCATGTCGAAACGGTAAAGAGAAGTAAACTTTGGAAATGGAAAATAACGGGTACAAAAATCTGATATATTTTCTGTGTGAATCGGTGAATTCCAGACGACAGTGCAGTGATTTGAAAACTACACATTTATGAAACATCCCGTCTGCTGAAAGTATACAGACGTATACGGTTTGGATGCTGTAGCATAAAAGTGTAAAAAGAACCAAACAAACAGAATTTAGCTAATACAGGGTGACCACATGAGCTTGAGATGCTGCCTGCTTCAGATCTTTATTGCATGTCAGTCCCCCACCTGCTTTTCTGTCAAAAAATAAAAACAAAATGCCAAATAAAAGCCCTAATACCCCTTAACTACTCTTTATTAAAAGCACAGAATACTATAGTCGCCATATGAGGAGGTCATTTACTTTACGTGTCATCATTACAAATAGTTTTATTTGCTCTTAATTTGAATTTTCAGTCCACTTACACGAGAATAGCCAACGAACAAAGCAGAGGAACACAGCTCTGGACAGATGTTCGGAGGAGAGTTTCAGAAATTTGATTTTAAGACTCAAGAGCAGAAATCAGCCTCACCGTCTCATCCATACGTTGATGGAATAAATACCCGCAGAATGAGAATTCCTTATATGACTCATTTGTGTGACTAACTTAATATAAGAGGAAGATATTGTTGATTCTTGTGGTGACTGCAGTAACTGATAGTAATTGAGAGAAGAGCTGAGTGGATGGGACTAGAATCTAAATGGGCTTCAGAATTTAAATTTGAGGTATAATAATCCAGATAAACAACACAAAAGGCTTGTTGCTGCGGCGATGCTCAGTGCTTCGTGTGCCTTTATCGTACCATTTTGCTCGGTTTGTTCTCGACAAGCGGTGACATTTATCAGCAAATCCAGTTAGCAGCGCCTCCTGGTTTATTTCTAGGACAGCAGTGATATTAACAGTAATCCACTGATGACATGATGTGTGGTGACTGGAGTTTGGCTTCGTGTCAGAGCTCGGCCAACACTGAGACTCATTCATCGGGACGGGCTTACGTATGGCGAGTGACAAACAGGTGCTGACTGACGCTGCGTTTGTGTGACTTACTACGAGTGACGCCATGGCCTGATGGTGCTGATGTCACTACTTTCTGATTGTTTGTTTGTTTCTTCACAGAGAAGAAGGCTGTCGAGCTGTCCGGGTGTGAGTGAACACCCTCTCGTGGAGCTGCCCACAAGCTGTCCTGCAGAGGCTTTCTGTCTGTTTCTCACCATCAGCATTTCAAGGTAAAACCACCACAAAAAAATGGTAAAAATGCATTTTTGAGAAACTTTGCAAAGAAGCCAGCGTGTGCACCAAACCATGAGTAATTGTTTTGATTGCTTTAAAAGAAAAGTATAGTTAATTTTGACTTTGCAACCAGTGCAATATGGATAAATATCTAAAACTTAACCATTAATTAGTTTAAATATCTCTAATTTCTTGCAGTACATGCAGACAGACAATCCATAGGATGCTTGAATTTCTTTACCATCTACAATATAACAAGGAGGAACCTCTGATCTTGTTCTTTTTGAATTTCAGTGTTCAGTGCCAACGATTTCCCTGAGGTACCCAACCAAGGGGATCGATAAAGCTATATCTAATCCAATCTATCTATCTATACAGTACAGTTCTGCTAATTATTACAAGAGAGAAAAGATTTAAACAATCAAAGGCAGGCTTAACATAATGTGTCTCCTGTTGTTTTTTTCAGAGAGAACAGATTGTGTTTCGAAGATGTTTTTAACTTATGTCATGAATGTGTTTTCGACTCAGACATTTCTTAATCAGTTTAGGTTCAATCTGGGGCTCTCATGCTTTCAGAGAATTTACAGTAATGGTGTTATAAGTTGAGTTCATCTTTGGCAAATATGCTAAACTGAGTGTCGGGAGGTGGAGCGAGAGTCTGTGCTCGTATGTCAACCACAGAGTTAGTGGAACTGGATTATTTTCAGTACTGTTATATGTGTATTTCCTTACCTGTATATGGAGACATCCCTGTACAGTCGAGTGCATGGGATGATGAATATGGATACAGGGATGTTTGTGATGAAATATAAAACTGGAATATTGCTTGTTGACATTTCAAGAAATGTCTAATTAAGGAGAGGAACTGTGAATACGACTTCCCCCCGTCGCCGTGTGAAGTGAACGTCACCTAAGGCGGTGATTCAGTTCAAAGACTAGATTTTATTCTGCGGGCTGTGAAAACTTCTGAGATTCTGGGATGATTTTAGAGTAAATAAATAAATAAAATACAAGCTGTAATGGTCAAAACTGCTTAGTTTTTCTTTCAAAAGTTGTTTTTAGTGAAAAGGCACCGAGCCATTCAGAAACACCACCGAACTAAGCTGGTAAATGTCAAAACGATTTTATATTTGTGTGATTCTTAGAGTTTGGTGCTACGTCTGAGTCATGCAGCATTTGTGGGTTTTTGGTTTTTTTTTTTCTTATGATGATGAATGTGTTGTGTGTTTCAGAGGTCTATGGTCCAGCATTGAGCAGAGACCATGTGGTGTTTGGAGCTGCTCTTACCACTGCTGTTGATCATTAATGGTAATACATTTCTTCACCTGGTAGACATACTCTTCCCATCATGCGTTGTTGGAGAGGATAGTCGTCACATTTCCCTCTGTCTTCTCCCAGATGCCAGTTGCCAGTGGAACGTCTGGGTCCCCCGCGATATCTCGGCCATGACGAACTCCTGCGTGGTCATCCCGTGCACCTTCATGTATCCGTCCGGCATCAGGCCGTACCGCGGCATCCATGGCATCTGGTATTTCGGCCAGCCCTACCCTCAGCTCTTCCCACCCGTCGTCTTCAAATCGCGTACGGACGTCGTGCACGAGAGCTACAAGGGCCGCACCAAACTGCTGGGCGACCTGCACCAGAGGAACTGCACTCTGCTCATCAACAACATCGGCACAGAGCACTCAGGGAGATACTACTTTCGCGCAGACCTCGGAGGAGCCAATATGTACACCTACCCAGATTATGCTGAGCTCAAAGTTCTAGGTGAGGGAATCATGAGAAGGTTGGTTCTTAGTTGATTGCAAAAAGGCCAATTCAGTGTAATAACCAAAAGATCTGTGCCGGTTTTGTTCTCCAGATCAGCCCAACATCGACGTCCCAGAGGAGATTGTCAGTGACGAGAGCCTGGAGCTAACATGCTACGCTCCCGATAACTGCCCGGACATGACTCCGGAGATCCAGTGGATGTACACGGACTACCTGCCCGACCCGGAGTTCAGCTCTGACTACCTGGAGGAGAGCAACACCGCAGTCCTCTCCAACACCCTCACCTTCACACCCAGGCCCATGCACAACGGGCAGCTGCTGGGCTGCAGGGTCTACTACCCCAACACCACACTGGTCTACGAGAGGCTCATCTCTCTAGACATAAAGTGTAAGTCAAATTTAAATTTAAGAAAAAGCTCATACTGTGGAAACCAATCAGTAGTCAGTGATGCTTTTCAGCCTCTGTAGTCTCAATGGGAAAGTTCTGCCTGACGTGATAGAAACCCTGCATTAGTTATACTGAATTTCTAAGCAGATTTCTTTCTTAAGCGACTCAGAGGTGGCCCAGACACATCATCATAGTGTTTGAATAGAGAGAGAACTGTTTGGGATTAGGTTGGGGGTCAGGTTCTGTAAAGAAAAACAACCCGATCATCCCGATTTCCACCAGAATCTATTCCTGAAAACTGGATTCTGACACCAATGTTTAAGTTCCTCAGAAGGGTTTAGGATAATATTTGCTAATTACCCTAAACAAATAGTGCAGCTGATTTGATCGGGATAATTTCGCTCAAAGGGATCAGCGACGTTTTTTCAGTGCACGAGGAAGAAACAAATGTCTGGGATGAATCTGATGAGAATCTATAAGATGTGTTGAAACATTTCCATCTCGACCAAAGAGGTGGATAAACTATCCTGCAGCCTAACAGTGTCTCATTAGATCCATGTCGCTAGCACGGCTGGAGAAACAAACTGTTTAGTTCTAGCAGCGGCATCATCTGCATGCTTCATTTTTAGTTGGACAGAAAGGAGTTGCAAAGATTAAGTTTGGCATTCATGCTCCTGAATGTTTGCAAATTTTAAAAACAAAGTCTGCCTTTCTTTTCCCGGCAGATGCTCCGCGCTCGGTGTGGGTGAACGTCTCCTCGGAGGTGATGGAGGGCAGCTCTGTGACGCTGCACTGCGAGGTGGACAGCAACCCTCCGTCCAGGATCTCCTGGATGTTCGGAGACCAGGAGCTGCTGTGGGACACGGCATCCAACGTCTCCCTCTCCCTGGATGACGTGACGCCTGCCAATGAGGGAATCTACACCTGTGTCGGGAACAACGGCTACGGCGTCATGAACACGTCGCTTTACCTGGCGGTCAAGTGTAAGTTCAGTCCCAGCACACATAGGCAGGTTCACACTGAAGATTTAAAATGAGTTTGGATGCACAATTAGCTTGAATTTGCCAGTCAGAACCAATGAAAGGAGTAATTTCACTGAAGATGTCACTCTCATCTCCCATAGGCTTGCATTGTGTTTTTAAAATGTTTACAGCTTGACTCTTGGCAGCAGCTGTTGTCTGTGTGGATTCACAGAACAATGACTCAGCAAATTTAATCAGTAATAAATCAATAAAAATGGGGGGAAAACATGGAGATTTAAAAATACACAGAGACAAGAAAGAAATGTGCTGAGCTATATGGACGTACTGAATCCAAATTTTTGTTTTGTACCAACAAATTACACAAGACTGGGACCTTGGAATACTCAAAGTCAAGTGCACATCTTTCAGTGGACTCGATGCACGACAAAGCACGACATAAAGTCTGTTATTAAAATGCACTTCTGTTCAACACTGAGACAGAGACCATAATTAGTTTGTTTTGACCTGATTTTGATAACTGCTCTGTAGGAAAGCAGCAATAATCTATAATTGTATGATTTAAGAAATATATAAAAATGTAAAAGAAGTACATTTTTTAAAAATATCCATAATAGATGGGTTTAGATTTATTGAAATAACACCAGGGTGGCTTGTAGTAGTGAATCTATAGAGAATTATCACCAAAATCTGCGTTTCCTCTCACCTTTACAGAGCTTTATGCTGAGTTTCAGCTCATTCTGGGATTTTTTGTGCAGCCCAAATCTGTACTATTCTGCTTCACTGTTCATAGGATCAGTTTTAAAGTTGGCTGTTTCCGGTAAAGTTGCTCTAAAAACCCAGTTTACTGCAGTTTCTCAGTGCCAATCAGCAAAGTAGAGACATTTGCAGCTACCAAGTGAACAGAGTAAAAAAATAGCATCCGTGTTGCTCCAGCAGTGGTTGGTGGAGACCAAAAACAAAGCTAAAAGGAAGTGAATATATATATTCATTAGGTGACCAGCAGCATGACCCCATCTGGATAGTTCACTTTTTTGTTTGGCGTATCAACTAACAAGTTAACGTGTGTGAGAATAACACGAGACATATTCTCAATCTGCATAAAAACAAACTCAAATTTCCTCGCTTCTTGCCGCAGACCCTCCCCGAGAGCCCACCGTTAACAATTCTATGACGGTCCTGGAGGGCACCTCGCTGGCCCTGCACTGCAGCACCCAGGGCAGCCCGGCGCCGACTCTCACCTGGCTGAAGGACGGGGAGCTGGTGGGCACCATCACCGCCGACGAGCTCTCTGTGCTGGAGATCATGGAAATCACGCCGCAGGGAGACGGGCAGTACCGCTGCCTGGCCGAGAATGAGCACGGACGAGCCAGCAGCTCCCTCAACATCACCGTCGAGTGTGAGTGCTTCACTGTCACGCATTATACCCTACAGAAGAGTAAAACAAAAAGGATAAAGCATGACAGTATTATATATAGGAGAATCTGCAGTGAACATCTCTACTGCACTTTGTAGAACGTCTGAAAACATCTTATTTCCATTAAATAAGTACTTTGACTGAGATGATTTCGTACATATTATTTCTCACCAGCTACCTGATGTGCTTTAAACTCGTCTAGATCAAAATACAACCCATTAAGTTTCACATTACTTCACTGCCTCCTTCAACAGACGCCCCGGTCCTCCTGGAGGAGTCCAAGTGCACAGTGGTGAGGGAGGGCGTCCAGTGCGTCTGCATGGCCACGGGAAACCCCGAGCCCACCATCGAGTTCTACCTGCCCGACCTGAACATCACCATCAACGAAACCGACGGCCGGTACAACTTCTACACGCACACGGACGGGCACACGTCCACGGGCATGATCAAGCTGCGAGAGAAAGGCGAGCGGGTGGACAACGGCGGCCCTGCTGTCAACGTCCACTGCAGCATCTACAACATGTACGGAAGAGAGAGCGTGCTGCTGGAGCTACAGCAGGAGAGTGAGTAGAAGTGACGTGATGAAGCTGTGTTTGAATTCCCCTCTTTCTGTCTCTTCACCAGCATCCTTTTCTTTTTGAAATCGTGACATTAAAGTCTGGTGACGTTCCACATTGTTCTGCGTTGTATGCGTAGCCAGAGCCCGGTATAGATTATTGCTCTGTGCCATAGCGCTGTATTGAAAAGCTATTTAAAACTCTTGTTGTCCTTTTATTACAATGAACTCAGGCACTTGTAGTTAATTGTCCTGCTGCCACAGATTAAATGCGTATTGATCTGCGGCAGAAAACAGACCCAAACAAATGCGCTGTTTTCTTCCGTTTTGGGCACGGCTTGCTAAACAGCCAGCTGTTTTAGGAAATTACACAGGACACAATAGAGGGGAATTACCAAACGTGTCTGTCGTAACAAAGGTACAAGTTTGACGTTGCACTTCCCTGATTTTTTTCTACCTTTGCCACCAAAGCTTCACTGATTCCTGAACACGGCGGCCTTTTGCACCAAGTGGACTCTGATGCTTACAGGAAGCAAAACATTAAGCAGTGACAGCTTTTGTTTTAGAGAAGAATCGTGGAAAAGTTTCATTTTTATGGACCTCTAACACCTCGAGCAAGTCAACGTTTTGGCCCATTAGGAGTTGAATAAAGTCAAATTGAGAGAACAGGTTTGAAAAGTCAAATAGTGACTTTTCAGGCTGCCCTCCGTCGGCACTCTGCAGCCTCCTCGTCAGGATTATGCGTCACTTTTTTGCACGTTGCCTTGTGCAAACTATTTTCTCTTGTGTAACGGAGCTGAAACCTCACAAACCTTAAACACAATGTGAGCCTTTAAATTCTGTCATTTCCAGGAAAGTGCTTGATGCAACGCTGGAATACGACATGGCCCCGAAGTTTACTTCCCCTTCTTTTACTCATGTCACTTCTCTTTACTGGATCCACTGTGTCTGTAATTAGACACACAAACAGAAAGCCTTAATGTTAGCAAGATTTTTATATGTTGTTGAACAATAACTAAACCCAGAGTGCAGGACTTTTGCATTTAAATGTCACATTTAATCCCACATTAAACAAAATCAGACGATGTTTGTTGAGCCAAATCATGCCGTTTAAATCTCTCTGGGAGTTTTGAATTTGCGTTGGCATGCCGGTAGTGATGCCTTTTATGTCAGCCAGCAATGATTGGTTTGCCAGAGCTAAAGATGGGGGGTAACCATAGCGACAGAGATGGAGTAGGCTACTGCAAGTAGGAGTTTAGCGGAAAAAAACGATTATGTTTCTGATGCTCCAGATAAAAGAGAAACTCAGTGTTCAGAGGAAGGATTACAGTCTATAAAAGGAAGTGATCGAGGAAAGCCAACAGTGTTTGTGTAATTACTCTCACCGCCAGGAGGGGGAGACGGCAGTTCTGCACGGCAGGTTTAGGCCCTCGTGTTTAACTGTCATCACATTTGTTTTCAGAAAAATACATGATGGCAGTCATAGTCGGCACCATTGGAGGGGTGGCGGTCATAGCCTTCATCATCGCAGCAGTGAGATACGTCGGCCACAACAACAAGAAGTGAGTATGAACGACAAACTAATGGAGACGGCAATGCGAGGCAGAAGTAGACGTTTTCCTCACTAAGCATTTTCTGAAATCCAAGGAAACACTTAAGCCTAGTCATCCATTCTAAAACACACTGATGCACATTGTATACGAGTGAATGTGGGATTGATGTGGACGTGAGAATCATTTCTCCCGTGCAATTTCAGTTTATTTGCGACGAGAAGTCCCTGTTGAAATCCTTGGACGTTCACATTGGCTGCCTTGTGGAGTGGGTTAGCGAGCTGGACTAACCTTATATTTTGCAGGCACGATTCCCTTCTCTGACACTGCTTCTGTATCCTTGACCTGCTACGCTAAATACAACCCAGGTAGCCCTCTTAACCAAGGTGCTTTATTTTAGCCTCAAGGCATATTTGGACCCCCAAATTTGCAAGCTTTCTCAGGCAGATCGCCCCTGAAGTGGGTGCGATCTCAGCGACTAAACCCATGAAATAACCACGTCACTCACAGCCACAGTTGGCCTCCAGCATAACCTGACAGAGCTTGTTGTTTTAAAATGGATGCCCAGGCTTGGCGTGTTGCCCTGCGTTAGTGGCAGTCGAGACCGAGTCTGATTATGTGACTCCGTCCCCCAGAGAGAATGGCAACCCTAGGCAGGACGTGGTCCTGGAGAACCCAGCTTTGTACTACAGCGCAGTCAAGAAGGACAAACAAAATCTGAGGAAGAAAGTGGTGAGACATGCTGATGTCAATGATTATGAATATGATGGAGGATGGGTTGAATGACCATTCTCAGACTGTTTGGGGTTGTACTTCTGTGTAATAAAATAAGTCATAAATGCTGAGACCCCATTTTCACCTCAGAAATGAGGCAATGGAAGGAATCTCTCCCACCAGCAGTCTAGTAGCTCCAACCATGACCTTTCCAAACACTGTTTTTCTCTTGCTTTCATCGCTTCTCTGCGTTTTTCTGTCTGTTTTTCTCTCCCCTAACTCTTGCACAGCTTAAGACAGAGCTGTTGGGCTCAAAGTTTAACTCCATTCTAGAGGAGACTACGGTAAGGTTCCCAAACAAATCCCCATTAAAAAACACAAGCCTCAGTGACAGATGCATCTCCTCGCATATCAGCTTCTGTGTTCTGTACACTGCCGTTTGTTTCCAATACTGCCTTCTGCATGGCTGCCTCATTGCTAACACCAACTGCCAAACTAACAGGAAACATCTCAGTCTTCTTGTCAGTATGTCGACCAGTAACCACTAACATCTTTTTCTTGATGGTGTCTGTTTGCGCTCTTCTGCCGCCTGACGTGTCGTCGGCGCCTTGCCAGTGATTTTGTGCCGCTGAACCGTCCTTCTGTCTGCAGGGAGAAGACGGGGATTATCAACCTGTGGGCTCTATGGCAGGACTGGAGAGGCAAGAGCTGAATTACGCTGCTCTGGAGTTTATTGGGGCCAGGCCCAGGGAGGGGGCCTCAGGGAGGGGGGATGACGGCAGCAACTACACGGAAATCAAAGCCAAATGAATCGCGATCCTTCCCTGATCCCTCGGCTATGCGAGATGCAGTGGCAGCCCCGTATTTCACACATCCTCTGCCCCGTAAACTGTCTTATAACCCCCCTCTCCTCTCCTGGATTTCACCCCGCATACGACGACTCCTTGTTTCTCATTCCTTCCGATTTGTCTCATGTAATGTACCACTCTACGCCAGTACTCCCCCCCCCTGTGCTGCCCCTCCTCCATGGGACGCCCCGTCTTACACCGCCATTTGGAAAAACTGGTATTTTCCGGGGTTCGAGCAAGACCCACTGGACAATGTTAAACAAATTATTTCACTTTCCAGCCTCTGTTGCAGTACACCGTCTCTACAGCGTTAACCGGCGACCATGTTTTTATTGCTTCCTGTGTGTCACTGCTGGGTGTCGCATTCGTCTCACCGTTTCGCTCTCCATCTGTCTCGTAACTGTCACTGTGTCTGCTGCCAGTCGAAGCGTCAGGGCAAGGAGTAACCGCGCTTTCCGTTCTCTTATCTTTTGAGTGTGTTTGTCGACTGAGAGCGAACCCCTCTTCCTCTCTTTTTCTTTTTTGGTTAATTACATCCTTTAGAAGATAACCGACGAGGGCGAGAGATGGAATCGCGTCTCGGCATCTTGTTTTCCACATAATTGTATTTAATGTGTGCTGTGACTCAGTAGCCTCTCGTAATAAATTGAAAAAAAAAAAAAAAAAAAGCCACCGTCACTTTTGATAATAATTGAAGAGGTTTTGTAAATTTTAAGTGACACACACACACCGTCTGTTAAATGTCACACTTTGTTTTCCAGCAGTTTTCCATTTGAGTGTAGAATGTGTTGAGATTTGTTTTGGGTTTTTTTTGGGGGGGGTGGTGGGATTTACCTGCACTGTGGCCAATGCAAAATGTCTGTCATCTCCTACTTCTTCTCCCTACAGCATGTGTTTCTTCGCATACGTTCCAGCCCATCTGAATTACACAGACCCAAAGCACAACATACTTGCTCGTGAGCGGCCGAAGTGTTATCTCTTTTAGACAATGTGTGTGTATGTATGTATGTGTGTGTGTGTGTGTTCAAATTGTGCTGAAAGATCGCCGGACGCTGATCTCTGGGGGGGGGGTCTTTGGGATGTTCGAGCATCGCCTCGCCTGTTGGTCGATGCTTTACTCTCACAGGAATGCGTCAGATGTCTGAATGACAAATAAAAAAAAAAGGGATGCTGACTAGCCAGCTGGTTGTGCTATTCAAAGACATTTGATGAGCCTGTGATGTAATATTAAAGCTCACTAATAGTCTAACTTGATAATGATGGTGTCAGTAATATATTAATTTGATGTATATCGATAGGGAAAGGGATGCCGGTATGTACAGGAAACACCCTGCGTGAGTCTTTTAGCCACATTGAAGTTCTGAACGTTGGCGACAACCCCGATGTGGCAAATTAAAAGCGGTCTCATCGCACATCACTCAGCCACTCTGACTGAACACTGTCTTAATATCAGCTCGTAAAACAGTACCCCCGACCTCTAACTAGTCAAATCAGAGGCAACGTTTACATGCAGCAAGTTGTTATCCACTGAGGTTGATTTTAAAGTAAGCTGTGTTCGATTCACGCATTGATGAGAATTCAACTTAGCATCACACTTCTATTAAACGGTTGTGCAAAACTGTAGCAGCAAGGATGTCCTGGGTTTAGCTCCTGGTATTGGTTAACCTCCAATAACACTGAACCCCAGATTACCCACAATGCAACCGCTAGCATCTTTTTGTCAGACCTATCCTGCCTCACAGACACTCAGTGTGTCTACTGTTCAACTCCACATCCAGTCGTCACCTCGTAGTCTCCGTGCTTGAAGCTTATTTTGTCCGATTTTTTATCAAGCGAACCTCGAACTGCAGAGGACATGACACAACAGTACTGTTCATGAGTTATGGATGATATACACCTACAGAGGAAGTTACCACTCCACTTCTTCCAGACCTGTTTGTGTCAAAAACGTACCAACAACTCACTGCAGCCGTAACAGACGAGCATCATTTTAAATAAGAGCAATTATTGTCTAAATGAACGCCTGAAAATTGACTTTCTAAAATCACATTCATCCAAGGATTTTCCTCTCCTTTACAGATGCTGTTTAACTGTATTCACAGATGTTTATAGTAGAAAAATAAAACGTACCTGGAGACGTGAAGCGACCTCTGCACGCATCCTGAATTAAGCCTTATACATTTAAAGTGTAGTAATCTGCCCATTCTGTGGCCTCTCATTTAAAATGACGGATTAAGTTCGTTACGGCGGCAGCGTGTCTCGCTTTCTAAATGGTTTCACAACCGGTTTCGCAGGAGTACAAAATACGGCAAAGGCCTCCAGCGCTGTAAACTGTATCGCTGCAGTGTTTTTATAGGAGGGAACTGCAATATTAAACCAGCAAAACGGCACTATGAGGAGCACTGCAGTTTAATCTGTTGCTGAACTGAACTCTTGAACCCAAAACGATGTCTGCCAGTTTGAATAAACTGTGCTGATGAAGCCTCAGGTTGCCTCTGACGAAGCAAAAGGAGGATGACAGGGTAGCAGAATGTGGGATCCCTTCACTGACATCAGACCAAACCCATGTTGCTGTGCAGTGGAGGTTAGAGAAAGTCCTGCTCATCAGATGCTCATCAGTGCTGGTGACGTGTCGGGTGCAGCGATTATGTTTTACCTGCAGCTGAGTGACGGCAAATGAGCCGACTTAAATTTGGCTGAAAATGCTCGAATCAAACACTGTAGATTTATTTTATGATTATTTAAATTTAAGCAGTGCATTAGTACATAATACGTAAAGCTAGGTGCTGGGTTGTCACAGTGTTATTTAGACATTCCAATCCGAAACAAGTTTAGAAAATGTCTGCGCGTGTAAACGAAGCCGTTGTCTACCAGCTATTCTCATTAATTTGTTTATTAAGACATTGTTCTGGAGGAAGTTTGCTCAACTTGCCCGTCTGCACAAAGTCAGTAACCACTTCCTGTCCCTGAACGTATTTTTTTATTTAATTTATTTTGAAAAAAGTAGAAATATCCAATATGTCTAATCTTTTGTCACAGTGTGTTGTAAAGCAGATTTGTATGTCCAATACTTTGTGGTGATCATAATTATCATTATTGAGTTGGGGTTTGTTTTTTTGTTTGTTTGTTTGTTTGTTTTTTGGTTTTCTACATCTACGATTGACAAAATAATTCAGATCAGGGTTTTTTGCAATCTCTCTGCAAATTAGCATTGTTCTTTAATGTCAGTAGGTTTTTTCCTGCAAATGATGTAGTTTGCTTGCTCTTTTATTTTAAACAAGTCTTTGACGCCTCAAGCAAATTCATCTGTCTTCAGTTCCGTGCAAATATAAATAAAATAAAAAAAAAACATCACGAAATGGAAACGGTCGGTTATTGATGCGCAGCAAACCGTGAATGTGTGTTTCTCATCTTGTCTCTTTTCTTTGTTTTGAAAAGCAACATGGCCGCCGTGGAGCTGTGTGTATTTCTGATGTTGTACTTCTTTGATTAAGGCGACACGAAAGGAGGTCTATGCAGGTTTACACATTCAAACGAAGGCTTTTTAATTCATTTGTAGTGAATACATGTGCTGACATTAGTAAAGCACTTATTTATTTATCCATTCATTCATTTAAATCGCCACATTGTGGTTTTTAGGGGGTCACTCACTCTTCTCATTTGCTTTATACAGACAAGACTTCCATGTTAAAGTATACGAGAACTCCTCTGCATTACACTGAGCTTTCCTGAATTGATGAAAACCAGTTGCTAAAGTTTTGTTTTTTAATTGTTGAAAAAAGCAGCTCACAAGATAACTACAATTCAAATTACACAAGATGAGTACAAGTAAGATTCGTATGTCCAAAGTGTTCTTGTGCTACATTTCACACGATGTCCATCCAGCCGTTTCTTTCTTTGTTTCAGGTTCTGGGTCAGTCTTTATTGCTCAGCAGTTTGTACCACAGTTTGTTAAACTATATTTCATCCCCACAGGCTTTAAGAATCTGCAAAAATCTATATACCTTTTAATGACAATAATAGAAAATCGTTTAGTCGGTACAACGTTTTCTGGTTGGTCAGAATTACTCGGTTGCATGTGGTTGAATGACGGATGGTTCCTCAAAAACATTTTGCCTTCTGCCAGAATGATAGTAGTGACTGCATGTAGCTCACAGAACTGAGTACCTCTGACAGGCTTTGCTAGTGGTTGTGTGGGGCGGCCAGACTTTAGTCTACTGGCCATATTAATCAGGACAGGAGCCAAGAACTGAGTGAGGTGACGCACTGTAGTTATTCAGCCAGACAACTCCGTGTGAGGCTCGGGGTGGATGGACGGGTTGACAAAACACAAAATTCTGAATCCTAACCAAGCTGCTTGCTTGTGAGCTCAGTTGCTGGTGTTTAGCATCCATCCATCCATCCATCCATCCATCCATCCATCCATCCATATCCATATCCATAATCCTCACTAGGGTCTCTGGAGGCTGGACAGGTCACCAGTCTATCACAGGGCTACACTTAGAGACAGACAACCAAGCACACTCACATTCACACCTACGGACAATTTAGAATCACCAATTAACCTCAACATGTTTTTGGACCTTGTGGGAGGAAGCCGGAGAACCCGGAGAGAACCCACGCTGCACGGGGAGAACATGTAAACTCCACGCAGAAAGATCCCGGGTGGGTGTTTAGCATAGCAAGCAACTGCAATTTTACACACGATGCAATCTTGTTTCACCATCGGATGCAGCTTCATTAAAAGGAAAACATAACCAGCAGCTCAGAACGTGAACAGAAAGCAACAACTGCTGCCACATAAAGACAAATTACAACAGCTTAACTGCCACTCTGACTTTGCTGGAAACAATATTTTGACATAGGATGTTGCATAAAACAGCAAAAAGAAACCAAAGTTATTTTCTGTCTGGACTGGAGACACAAGAAGAAGGTGATTTATATTCAGCACAAGAGTTTGTAGTGAGATGGGTCTTTACTGGAGACCTATTTTGTGCCACAGCCACGGGGTTGGACACAAAAACAATATAAAAAGTAGCACGGAGACGCGTTTCCTCTTCAGTTATTGTTCAGTAGTGAGATGAAGCTGCTCAGTCGGACCTATAGCAGAATGTGATAACTGGTGAACAGCATCCTGCCACATCGCATTATAAAAACAAGATCGCAGCGGTTTCGCAATAAGAGACTGCGTAGGTAAAACTGAGAACGAGAATAAACTATTTGTCTTGGTCCTCTCTTCATTGCGCAACTGCAGATATATACAGGTTTGCAGTCTTTTATGAAACGGTGCAGTCGAGCACAGAAAAGCACTATAACACAACCACGGCTCTTGTTTTGTGATGTAAGGCTGAAGGTTTAGATTTCCAAGCAAATGCTGTGTGTGACACATGCAATACAATGAGATCACGACTGTGTTAAAAAGTGGAAGTCGTAGAAGAGCAATAATGGTCAGCAGACTTCCTGAAAGTTTGCTTTAAAGCTAACGCAAAGAGGGAAGAAGTGTCGCCTCGAGAGACAAGCGCGGGAGAACGAGACAGAAAGAGGTAACTGTAGATTTAGGAGTTAAGAAATGTCCAATTACTGAACAAATTAAAAGAACAACACAAAACTACACCCTGTAAAGTGTCAGCCAAGCTTTTTATTTATTTTTTTTTTGGCAGTTACAGACTATCTGAAGACGGCAAAATGTCTTTATGTGTTTGAACTGTCAACCTGCAGACAGCAATTTGGTTAAGTGGATTTCATTTACTGTACTTTGATTGTGAAATGTTCCCTGCAGAGTGTTTCACACATCAAATAAGGATGTTTGCGCTCATCTGGACAGTCGTGCTCTTCTTTGTGAGAGGCACCGATGCTCAAACGGGTACGTAGCTGTGTCATAATACCAACATCATGAAGAATTATTGTTGACTAACATATTTTTAAAAAATGATGAAAGTATTGCTTTTTTAATGTTAAATATTCTTTTGAATCCTTTTTTTGGTGATGTACTGTAATGTTATTTTTGTAGAAAGATGAAGTGTTTAAAGCAAGCAACGTCAGCTTATTAATAGTACAACCAGCAGCAGCTATTGACTTATTTCTCTGGAAAAAGTTTGTTCTATTTAAACCAATTTAAATAAATCTTGAAATTTTGTTGTGTTGTAAATTGTCATGCTGAAACAGTAATTGTCATGACTTATTAGATGCCGTTGTTATTGCCAACAACTGAAGGTTGTCTTATCTCCTCTGTTGTACGAACAGGCACATCAGCTGATAAAATACGACGCTGTGATACCGGAATCTGCATCACTCCCACTGTGGGAGAACTAACAGGAGAGGCTGGACTCTGTGTTGTGATTCCCTGTTCTTTCACCGTTGATTCTGGCTTCATATTCTCAACCATAGCTTGGTACAAATGTGAGGCAGCTACCTGCAGTGATTCTGACATAATTTTTCACGCCGGAAAGTCATACAACAATAATCTGCAGGCTGAATATCGAGGAAGAGTGTCTCTGCTGGAGCCTGATGTGAGGAACAACAACTGCAGCATCATAATAAATGACCTCAGGGAGTCGGACAGTGGATCGTATCAGCTCAGAGTTCATGATGAGCTCCGTCTGGGACCAGCTCGATATTTATTCTCTCCAAAAGCAACTGTCACTGTGAAAGGTATGGAAAACTGGAGCAAAAAACAACAACAACAAACAAGCAAAGAATGTTAATGCAGAACATGAATCATCAGTGTTTAGTGCTCTCAGAGCTTTAATGGAACATGAAGTCATTTTAGGCATTTGCTGACCTCTGCGGGCAGAAAGTAAAACTGCAGCACTTTATTCCATTAGGTCTCACTCAGAAACCCTCAGTGATCGTCCCCTCGCTGACAGACGGACAGCGAACCACACTGACCTGCACTGCTCCTGGTCTCTGCTCTGGATCTCCTCCTAAATTCTCCTGGACGTGGAGAGGAGCAGGAGGGAAGAAATCTCGCATTACAGGAAGCATCACTGATTTCCAGACTGAGAGTCTGACTGCTGGGACAAGGAGATACAGCTCAACTCTGACCTTTACTCCTTCAGCTGAACACCACGACACCAAGATCACCTGTAAGGTCCACTTTACAGGTGGATTATCTACAGAGGAGACTTTGGCTTTGAATGTGAACTGTGAGTACTTTTCTTCCTAAAATATTTTCTTGATGGTCTTGTGGTTTGAAGGTTGTCTTTCCAGCATCAAGAGCGTTCTTGAAGTTCTACGAATGTGTCATTTGTCCTGTTGTGTCGTAGATGTGAAGGAAGTTCAAATCACCGGGGACAGGAACCCAAAGATGGGTGACACTCTGAGTCTGACCTGCAGCGTTGAAAGTTTCCTTCCATCATTTATTGCATGGACTAAACACAATCACAATGGCAGCCTGAGCAAAAGCTCCACATCATCCACACTTGTCGTTCCTAACATGACAGCAGAACATTCTGGACCGTACATCTGTGAAGCATCTTACAGGGGAAGGTCTCTGTTTTCATATGTCAACATTACTGTGAGTTGTAAGTATATTTCATTGATCTTAATCCGATGTCTGTATAATTTATTATTTATTATGAGCTCCGTATACCACTGCACTGTTTCTCCTGAATAGAGTATACACTATATACACAGTATATACTGTATTTGACCATCATTTCTTCTTTCTTACAGCAGATCTTGAGAGAAGTAGTGGATCTTCTCATCCAGTTCTTCCCTGGGTCGTTGCCGGTGTGTCTCTCAGTGTCAATGTTCTCTTCATATTCTTCATATCTTGTCTTTGGTATGTT